TTTATTCTGTTTATGTGGTAGAAATATCCATTCTAATATGATATCTTCCCTCTGCATCTAAATCCCTGAAGAATATTCTCTAGATGGCAATATACCAGAATACAGTCTAGTTTTGGATCCACACAGTCCACATGTGCTTCTAGTATCCTCTTTTCTACCCATTCTAATTCCTTTTCAGCTTCAGCTGATAGTATTTGTGGACTTTAAGGGTCATTTACAAGTTTTTCAAATCATGCCCTTCTACTCCAATAATGGTTTGTAGTTGAGAAATCTCTCCTAGTAATTTTTGAAGATCATTAAGAGTCTGGTAGCAATCTCTCCTAATCTGTACTTTTTGTGGTCTAATTTTCTATAGACCTACTTTATATCCTAAGTAGTTGATAGAATCTCCTTTTTGTATTTTTTTCGGGTGCAATTTGTAATCCCCAACAAGGTAAAACTTCCTTTACTTTCTTAAACATTTTTTCTAATATTTCTATTTTAGAATCAGCTAACAATATATCATTCATGTAATGGTAAATTATTGATTGTGGAAACTGTTTACAAATTATTTCCAATGGTTTTTGCCCAAAATATTGGCACATGGTGGGGCTATTTAGCATTACCTGTGGCAAAACCTTCCATTGATATCTCTTCACCGGTTGAGAATTATTGTAATTAGGTACGGTAAAGGCAAATTTCTCTTTCTCTTGTTCTTGTGAAGATATAGTGAAGAAGCAAACCTTTAAATCAATAACTATAATAGGCCATTCTTTGGGTATCAAAGAAGGCAAGGGCATTCCAGGCTGTAGAGAACCCATTGGCTGAATAACTTTATTGATGGCTCTCAGGTCTGTAAGCACTCTCCATTTACCAGATTTCTTTTTGATAACAAATACAGGAGAGTTCTAAAGGCTGGTAGATTCCTCAATATGTCCAGCATTTAGCTGTACCTGAACCAGGTTTTCTAAAGCCTCTAACTTCTCAGAGGTCATACCTGTCCTACCCAGACAGGTTCATCTGTTAGCCATTTTAAGGGTAGGGCTTTTGGTTCCTCTGTTTTTTGGCACTTTTATTATGGTTTCTAAGCCTGGATATTTGGTGTCCGGCTTGTATAGTATTTTATAATACTTTTTCCACAATCATAAGGTCGTTTATTGTTCATATCTAATACTGGAGGAATGTTAATCTCTGCTTTCCATTGCTGTAATAGAGCACACCCCCATAGGTTTATTGCTATATCAGCCACATATGGTCTCAACCTTCCTCTGTGTCCTACTGGTCCTATACATTCAATCCATCTCATGCTCTGTTTTACCTGAGACAGGGTTCCAATCCCTAAGAATTGAACATTTACCTCTTGCAAGGGCCATCTTGGAGGCCAAGATTTATTAGTTATGATAGTTACATCAGCCCCTGTGTTCACAATCCCTCCAAACAGTCTGTTACTTATTTTACCTATCAATCTAGGCCTATGACTAGTTAGAGGTTTGCCAAAATCTACGTTTTTTTGTTTCCTTCTTTCATGTTTGATTCAACTTCCATCACTAGTTTGTCATCCAGAGAAGTATGAGTTTTTACGATAGGCACTGGATTTTCTAATTGTCCTGTGGGAGATTGTCTTCCACTGTGACTGGGAATGTCTGGACCACCTTTGACATGTGGGCCTTCGAAAGGCCCCCCAAGAAATTTCCCGATTGTAAAGTCCTTGCTTGTCTCTGGTCGATCTACATTCATTGGTTCAGTGTCGGCCTTTGCCACACCTTCCACATAACCCAGAAGGCTGAGGCATTCTGTTTGATTAATTCCTGGGAGTGTTAGTTCTAAAAATAATTTGCCTACAAGTTCTTTTTAGATGTCCTATCCTACCACAGTTAAAACATCTGACATTTTGATATCTTTTCAAACCTTTCGAGATGGCGTCTCCTACCCAAGCTTCTATGTCACCATAGATAGTTAAGTACCTCTGTTATCTTGATGTCTTCTCAGATTTCTAGATATGGCTTCTCCTACCCAAGCTTCAGTGTTATTGTCATTATACTCAATGTTGGCTGTATATAGGACCAATTCATCTAAGGGTGCTGATCTGATTTTTAAAGGCCAAAGCACCTGTTTGCACTGTGGATTTTCATTCTCATAAGCTAATGATTCTATGAATATTCACCTAGAATCTGTGTCTGCTACCTCTAATTGTATTGCCCTAGACAACCTTTCTAGAAATACACTAAAGCATTCTCTAGATCCTTGCCTTATCTTAGTATAGGATTCTATCCTCTCCCCTAGTTCATGTTCCAAGCATTCAAAGCTGTTGTACTGCATAAAGACAAGGTGTGGTCATCATAGGTAGCTTGAGTTTCTGGGTCAGCATAAAGACCCTCACCAATAATTTTATTTTGGGGAGCTTTATAACCTTTCTTTAAGCCCTATATTTCAAGAACTTTTGCTTCTTCTCTCCATAAAGCCCTCCATTCTAATTGAGAGGAGTTTTCAAGGACAGCTGATATTAATTGATCCCAATCCTTAGGGGTTACCTTGTTATTCCTTGCCCATGATTCTATTAATTGCTTCACAGTATGGTGAATGTATGCCATAAGAGACTACTGCTTCCTTTATACCTTTTAAATATTTCATGCGTATTGGTTCCCACTGATATGCAACGCCACCTTTTGGGTGTTTTTCGTTGTTGGTTTTTCACTAATAGATATAGGGAAAACTCCCCTGACCCTAAATGGTGTAGAAAATTTTAAGTCTCTTTCATGCCCTGTTCCCTGTAGTTCTTCTGGTGTATCAGATTGAAGGTCTTTTAAGGCCTGAAATCTATTCACTATTGTTTCTTTGAGTCTGAACTTCTTGAACCATATAACTTTCTAGAGACTTCATTGAATCAGTCAGTCTCTTAATTTCTCCAACTTCAAATGATTCCATATTTTTAACATACTCATCCTTAGATATTATCTGAATGGCATGTAAACTACATTCCAGAAACAATGTTCTATCCGCTAGCTTGCCATTATCCTCAGACATGGGACAGATTCTACCTGCTTCCATCTGATGTTCCAGTTTTTTAACCTTATTAATAGATTTGTCCAACCAGGAACGAGCTGTTTCTGCTAGCATGTTAATGCATTGCACTGTTTCCATTTTGGTTATTGAGGCATCAGATATGGAAGAAATACTGTTTTCTAGCTGGTCATTTTTATGTTCCATGTTTTGCATTCTACCTGTCAGCTCTCTATTGCCATCTTCAATATTCTGAACCTTTTCCTCTAAGCATTTTATGTTCTGCATTCTAATTTTAAGCTCTCCATTGTCATTTTCAATATTCTGGACCTTGTTTTCTAAGGATTCTATGTTTTGCGATCTAATTTTCAGCTTTCCATTGTCATTTTCAATATTCTGAACATTTTTTCTAAACATTCCATGTTTGCATTCTAATTTTAATCTCTCCATTATCATTTTCAATATTCTGCATTCTGTTTTTTAGCTCTCTATTGTCATTTTCCATATTTTGAATTCTTGTTACTAACTGTCTTATGGTTTGTACAAGTTCCTTATTGTTTGCTCTAACCTCAAACCATTTCTTTAAAAATATCATAATGATGAAACCCATTGCTATTACCAAAAAAATTGTATATATTGATTAAGTCATGATTTTCTTCTGTTAAAATTCCTTCTATACAAGAAGTAAAAGAATTCCTAAAGTCCTGATCCGCCATAGATATGGAACAATTGATCTTGGATATTATATCAACTTAAATTGCGAGGAATGTTGCAATTATCTTAGGTGTAATTCTGCTGTCCTGGAACTTTGATGGTTTTAGTTGTAGATCTCAACTTGTGGTAGTTACACCTGGAGGTGTTCCACCAAATAGCATCTGGCAGCAGACGATCCTTCTGATCTTGGTCCCTGTAGAATAGCTCTTAACAAACTATGGCAAGTGAAATTTTGTTAAATGAATGAGTAAAAGGAGCCTTGTGCAATTGCTGGGACCGCAGGGTTAACAGGTGTTGCTGGTATCGCTGGATTGTAGGAAACACACAAGCAGGGCAGCACCACGAAGCTGTGCATGAATGCAAAGTAGGGTAATGGGCAAAAAATGAGAAACAGTGAGTGCCTTCTCAGGGCTGCTGTGGAGGTAAAGGAGTTGTAGGGCAGAGGCAAATGTCCCACAAGCTGTGGTGTATACACCTGGTTAGGCAAGGGACCCTGCCTGTTCGGGAATGGTGGAGGAAGGGGGCGGCATCTGCCACCTGGGTGAAAACCAGGTCCGGTGAAAATCCAGATCCTGCTTCTGACACCAGATATTGATGTTTAATAAGGATCAGGAGAAACAAATAGGCAGAATAGATGTTTATTCAGGGAGAAATAACTCACAACATAGACAGATGAACATCAGCAGGTTCCTGGTCCCAAGGATGCCTCCAGATGTGCTCCTGTCCTGGTACTGCAAACAAGAGAGCTCTCTGAGCCCCCTCCTCAGCCTTAGTTCCCCCAGGTCATATCAGGCCCTGTTGCCACAGGTGCGGACAAGGTGAATATCTCACTACACTAGTATTATAAGCATGGGCCACTATATCTGACTTTATTTCATTCTTAATCATTTTAAATTATTCTTAATAATTTTATTAATCACATTTTTACATATTTACTGAATAAACAATATTTTAAACTAAGACTGTCAGTTGACAATATGAAGTAGGTAAGTTAATACCTACATGGTTATTAAATTCTACATGGCTATTAAAGACTGATATAGAACAATATTTACTTAAGGCCATGTTTAAGAAAGACCATGAGAAAATATTAAAGCAAACCTTGCCATACATATTAGTAATGATTTTCAGTTCTATTATATACCAACTTGTCATGTTATCAGCTTGCTTGGTTGTATGGATCGACAGAATATACTTTCTAAATGAAAAGTTCCTTTTTTTTTTTTTGCATGTCGATCCTATTTCCCTCTCCCTCCTTCCCTCTTACTCTCTCCCCCCTCACATGCACCCTGACCACCCTCCCCTCCCATCCCCATCCCCATTCCACATGTAGGGCAATGCCATCTGGGGGGGGGGGTCATGTAAATCTGTCAAGTCATTTGAAGTAGGGACTAGGACTTCTCTCCTGTCTCTAGGTTAAGGGAGTATCCCTCCATGGGGGATGTGTCCTCAAGGTCCTTTTGTGCCCCAGGAATACATCCTGGTTCCACTCTCTGAGGTCCCTTAGACTGTTCAGTCCTTCTAGCTGAGAACCATATTCAGGGGGTCCCATGCTGGATTCCCAGCTATCAGTCTGGGGGCCCGTTAGCTACTCCTTGTTCAGGTCAGCTGTCTCTATGTGTTTCTGCAACCTGGTCTTGTCCTCTCCCTTTGCATCTGGATTCTAGTTCAACTCAGTGTTTAGTTATGGGTGTTTGCTTCTGTTTCCAATAGGTACTAGATGAGGGCTCCATGATGGTGGATTAGTTGTTGATCTCACTATCCGGGAAGGGCATTTATGGTAGCCTTTCCACGGTTGCTCAAATTGTTAGTTGGTGGCAGTCTTGTAGGTGAAAAGCTCCTTCTTTAGGCCTTGTCTTTGTATAATAATTGCTAAAAGGGAGGCATAAGAAAATATAGTCAAAATTTGCTCCTTAACTGTGAGCATTCATTAGCTGTTTGCTTTTTATCATCCTAGAAAATTATATTTTCACATGTGATTTCATCTCATTTTCTTAAACATTAAGCACAATATGTTCCAATTTTAAGGGCACATAAAATAAATAACTTGCTAGTTTGGTAATTGTTCAAGTTAGAAGCTGACAATAGATAATTTATTATTACTCTCAGTAGCAAAACAAAAGTTTAAATGCATTTCATTAGTAGAAAATAAATTTGAGTAAATTAGAAAATGGAATTGAAATAAGTGTCATGAACTTTTAAAAACATAACTGTTTTGTTCATATCATTGAGACTCAAGAACATAGTACCCCATGATATAGCATGCTAATAAGTGATAATAAGCAAACAGGAACATTATAAATTATTTTAGGATATTCCAGTTTTTTTTTCAAAATTCCATGCACATGCACATTTCTGATAGTAAATATAGAAACATTAAAGCCAACAAAGTCATAACACAAAACATCAATGAAAGCTGGGACACCATGAAAAGACCAAACTTAAGCATAATAGGGATAGAAGGAGAAGAATACTAGCTCAAAGGCACAGAAAATGTATTTAATGAACACCTCTTTCTATCTAGAACATATTCCTATCTTTGTTTTCACTATCTTTGGGTTCACCTGAGATAGCCTTTTTTTTTTTCACTAGTCAAATAAAAGTACTAAACATTAATCATTGTTTTGTGTCCTCACTAAATACTATAATAATTAACTATGGCAACATCATGGTATTTGTTGAATTGTAAGCTTGACCTCTTTTTACCAGACCTTCTTAATGTCAAAGTCTATGTCCTGATAGTAATAGCATGGTTCTAATATAACAAGGCAATCAGTAGTTACTATATTACCAATGAACAGACATGATCATTATCATGCCTCCTATTCATATGCCTCCTATTTCTCTAGCATCACTTGCAAACTTTTTACAAAATCATGTGTATGGATGCTAGGCAAAGCAACACATGACATTCTTTAACATTGTTGCGCAGAAGAAAAAATGGTATATTTTCTACATAAATTACTTAATTTTTAGGACCAATATATTTATTTTTATATTTTAGAAGGACAAAAAGGCTTTTTGTGAGCTAAAGGAAATTAGACAAAAGGTTATATGAAAGTTTACAAAATGAAAGAAAGAATACAAGAGAACCATTAAACAGAATATTTCCAAATATCTTTAGGTGTTATCATTGGATGTTTATTTGTTGGGGTTTTTTTTTTTTTTTGGTGCTATTTCCCAAATATTTTTAAATTTGTTTATTACAACTTAAGATGCATATTGATGGCTGGAAAGATGGCTCAGAAGTTAAGAGCCCTAACTGCTCTTCCAGAGATCCTGAGTTCAATTCCCAGAAACCACGTGGTGGCTCACAACCATCTGTAATGAAACCTGGTGCTATCTTCTGGCCAGCAGAAATACATGCATGCAGAACACTGTATACATAAGAAATATATCTTTAAAAAACAAAAAGATGTGTATTTGGATATCTTTAAAGTTCCTATAGAGAAGCCTGCCCTCTATACCACAAACACTTCACTCTAGTGATCACATAGAGTTTCAATTTATGTAAGCTGTGTTTTGTTTAGTTGAAGACAAGAACCCAAAAGTTGTAGTATATATTGGTCAAGCATTCCTTTGAACTTACCGTTCTCTATGTTTTAACATCATACAGAAGGTGACACCAACCAAAATGATAATTGCTGAGCCTGCAGAAACACCTGAAGAGGAAAAACGAATGTTTAATGCCAGAAAAAAAAAAAGACATGTCTTGCTAGCAATTGATTGTAGGAATTACTCCTAGTGGTACAGAAGTTGCTATTGTGATTTTATAATACTTTTTTTCTTAATCATAAACACTGAACTACTGAATAATCATAATTGAGCTTTAAATTTTTCTAGTTACATCTAGTCCATGTTTGGTCTGCAGCACTAGGCACATGGATCACAGGGTTCCAGTCAATTTTCAATCAAATTTTCCTATGCTTTTCGGTGTAATTGGTAAACAATCTTGTTTCTATGGTAATTAAGAACATAGGGTAGGATACCAGAATCCCATGATTTTGCATAATATTTGACCCTTAATTGTGACATATATTTTGCTATAGCAGAATAAGATTACTTATTCAGTTGTACCAAATACCAAGAGCACATAAAAAGAGAAATTTAATTTAAAAAGTACATTTTCAACTTTAACCTAAATTGACATTTTATAATGCACCAAGAACATTAAAATATATTTAAAATATGAAAGAACATTAGACCCAATGAATTAAAATGAAACATATTAATGTGTAGAATGTAAAACAATTTTACATTATACATATTTATTAAAAAAATTATAAGAACTCTTATTCAAGTATTTAAGAGAACTCACCACAAATAAGAGGAATAGTTGACCCTAAAGAGAAAAAAAGATCATGAAACATCAGTCTGTTAGTACAAGTTAGTGGCATCTATGTGCCATTATATCTGGCAATGTCCTAGAAATGGATACTTAGCTCCCATTTAGTCTACTTATGATAGAAATATTGGTTTGCCAAGTTATATTTATCATTTTATTATGTCAAAATTCAATGGATATCCCTCCATTTTAATTAGTTGAGTTGTGGGAGTTTATCAATACACTCAGTTTATAGTCAGCGACTTTTGAGATTAGGTGAAAATATGAACTGTTGTAATCGGTTAGTTGACATGTTTTTGGAAGTCCTTTCAAGTTGGTAAGCACTTAAAAATTAGACAAGAGAGAATTCTCACAGAAGTTTTTTTTTTTTCAGACTAGAAGGCTGTGAGTTTTACATTTTTGCTCCTTTTAGACTATTGTGGCCCTCTTGATGTGATGTGTGCCCCATACTCAATTATATTTTTCTTTGTATTGATTTCTGCTTTTCAGTTAATCTGTTTTCACATCATTGTTCGCTATGTCAAAAAATCTCCTACACTGATAGACATTCCATTCCCCTCCTACACTGGCCACATATAAATAGCAGTGAGTGAGGCACTTGAACTTACGGTATTTGCAGATAGCCAGGGGAGGGTTCCATTGGTGGTCATCTTGGCACTGGCTCTGAGGACTGCCCTCCAAGGTATACCCATCCTCACATTCCAAAGTCACAGTAGCTCCATACCGATACATTTTCCCAAGCTGGAGTCCCTTCTGGATTCCATTTGTATCCTCAGGGAATCTACAGTTTACCTCTGCAATTAAAGAAATCTTACTAATACAATAAAGTAGAAAATGTCCTTACTAGAAAGATTATGAAATCAACTAATTTCATTATCAGTAAGCAAAGTTTCATTGGATAGCATAAGGCAATACTCTGGGCAGTCTTTATTGTCAACAATTTTCAACAGCTACCTAGCAACTTAATCTGGATTGTTTTCTATTTGTGTGTCTATGCTAACTGTATTTAAATAATTTCTGTCTGTCTCAGTCTCTCTCTCTCTCTCTTTGTGTGTGTGTGTGTGTGTGTGTGTGTGTGTGTGTGTGTGTGTATGTGTGTGTGCTCACACGCAAGAGGGCATGCACTCATGCGTGCATAAGTACAGTCTTTGTGTGCAGGTGCCTTTAGAAGCAAGAAATACTCTTTTTTCTGCATTGAATTTTTGGGATCTGGAGTTATAGGTGGCTGTGAGACAACCTATGTAGGTGGTAGGAATTGAACTTTGGTCTTGTGGGAGAACAGCTTACACTCTTAACCACTGAGCTATCTTTTGCCCCAGTTGCATAGTTCTGAACATTAATTTTGTATATGATAACATTGTTTCACAACATGAAAATTAGAAATATTCCTGTTAAGGCCTTGGAATTGAATCCTCACTGCTAGTTTTGTGACTTTGAGTAAGTCACAAATCTCTCTGAGACTTTATCTACAAAGCAGGAATAACAATGGTACTATTCTTTTATGGGTTTCCGGAACATTAAATGATAATAATGGAAGCAATGCACAGCATCTGCCATATAGTAGAATCCTCAGCAATATTATATACTGACTTATTATTCTTATTTCATACATACTGTTGATAATAATTACTTCATAAAATATGTAGAACTATTTGTAAAATTTGTCTGTATTATAGAAGAGCTCAACTGCCAGTGTACAACGGTGGCAGGTATAGGAGAGCTATCGTTAGAGTGGACATTGGAGAGCTGGGCCCTTCCTTTTCAGACCAATGCACAGTTCTCCTCAGTTGATGGCTTCTCATGCAGATGCAGATGGAGAAAGAGTTATTCTCACCTGGGAGACTGGCCACTAGGAATTTAACCATGTACCAGTGGGTATATGGACAACACAAAATGGACTTTTTTCTTTTTCTTTTCCTTTGTAGAGGTAGAGGCCATAGTGGAGTGGTGTGGACATGAGGAGATTAGGAGTTGAGTGCATTCAAGTGTGTGATGTGAGATTCCCAAATAATCAATAGAGAAAATTGCCCATAATCTCACTACTAAATACGGAAACAGAATCAAAAGAACATTATAATTTTTATTGATGTTTTGTCAAATGCATTCTTACTTTAATTTTAGCAATAGTGTGACTATAACCTTTGCTTAGTTGCTTAAATTACAAAAATCACTTCGACTATCTATATATAAATAACTAAATAATTATTAGCCATACAGTTATGTCATTTTTATTTTAATATTATGGATTAATATATTAATTAATTAAATGTACTCAGATAAATCATACAATTGATAACAATTTTAAGCTGAAATGCTTAATTGAACATATATATTTGGGAAAATTACTTTGCTAGAAAGAACAACAATAACAACAATAAAGCAGACAAAAATACCTTTACAATAAGGGGCAGGTTGGCTCCAGGTACCCTCATGAGTACAGAGAAGAATTGCCTCTCCAGCCAGAAGGTAACCTTGGTAACAGCTATACATGACTGACATTCCAGGGGAAAATAGAGCTCTATTCCCACCAGTATGATTCCCATTGGGGATTGTGGATGGAGAAGGACAACCTAAGAAAGCTTGGAGATCAACAAGGAAAGACTTTAACTGGGCACAGTCTAACATTCTGATAACACAATTCCTGGGTAATAACAACACAAAAAAGCAACAAGAAACAAGCTAAATAGTTAATTCTCAAGTTTGGATAAATGTGTGATTTTCCTCTCTATACTATAAATGATTAGAAGAAAAAAGTTGAACATATGATATAGCTGTGGTCTACAAATATGATTTATTAGCCTATTTTATTATATTCCCTTGGTTGTTTCAAGAGTAACTGTCTAAAATTAATTGATCTATTATCTTCCCACTATGTTGAAAACAGGCTAGTACCATACATACAGATGCCCAGGAACAAGGAAGTGAAACCACACCCCTTAGAGCTCGATTTGATGAGGCTGCACTTGGCAGTCTCTAATGAGGACAGCCCTTAGCAGGACCAAGCTGTCAAATGATAGCCAAAATTATGAGACAATTTAGTGGGTTTGAAGGTAAGGTTCATTCTTCAGAACATCCAATATCCTCACTCTGGGTGGAACAATAGCCTTAAATATCAAAATTTCAAACAATATTTGCCAAAAAGTGTGCCCATGGTTTCAACTAAGTTCATAAGAATGAATAAATTAGAGATTGATTAATAAATAAATTAATCATAATTTCAGGCACTCTTGCTCTGTACAAAGGAAAGAGAAAAAAGAACCAAGTGAGGAGATAGGAAATGAAAGATCATCTTATAAAACACTAACGTCTTTATCTTTTAGATGCTTTAGTTTAGGTAGAATGTATACTCAAAAGCCTTCTTTATTTTGTAAAACATTTCACTTTTTATCCATGAAAATGACATACCTTTTCTGATACAAGTTGGTATACCTGGTACCCATGTGTTATTGGTATGACACCTTATCAAGTGACTGCCATTCATGATAAAGCCAGGATTGCAGGCAATATGTACTATGTCATTATGGGAATATGCAGAATGAGTTTTATTAAGTTTGTATCCATGCTCAACTTCCAGATCAGGGCAATGAGCTGGAAGAGAAGATTTTGAGCACTTTGGTGGAGGTCCACTCCAAGATCCATGTCCTTTAGCATCATTTCTGCATTGCAAACTTTTCTCTCCCTGAAGATCAAACCCTTGATCACATTCATACAAGACTTCATTTCCATATAAGAAGTGCTCTTTCATCATGCCTGTGTGCCTCCCATTTTCAACAGTTGGTGGAGGTTGACAGTGAATAACTGCAGAAGAGATTTAGAGAATTTGAGTGTTCATCCCAATACAAACAACACTATACAAGTGCCTTATAATAGAAAATTATTTAAAATTTGGAAATTAGAACATGCTTTATCAATTTATGTACAGATTCATTAAAGAAAAATCAAAAAATAAAATGAAGTATAAAGAAAGAAATATAGCTGTGTTCCTATATCCCATAAATATACCACATATTTTCCTATTTAGTAAAATTAAAATATATATACATATTCACATTTATATACATATGATAAATACTCATTCCTACTTGACAAATTGTTTCTCAATGCCAGTGTTGATAAAAACTAAGAGATTTTCAACATAGCAGGGAGAAGTATAAACTATTAAAGAAGTTGTAAACTTACTCTCCACTAATGGATTATCCCTTTCTAATTCCCTAATCTGTGGTTGACTTCCCTATGTCCATAATTTACCTTTACAAACTGCAATCTTTTGGAACCAAGTTCCATTCTCAGCATTTTGACACTTCTCATAAGCATGTCCAGTCAACTGGTACCTACAAAAAGATGTTATGCCACATTTATTTTCAACATTTGACCTCTGCAACATAACTGTACCAGAGACTGAATCAGAGCTCATACCTTTAATCTCAGGATTTGAGAGATATAAAAGGTAGAGGCACTCGGTCTGAGAATTAGTCTCTAGCCACATTTGGGAGAGCATAGCATTCTTAGTGAACCTGAGGAGCAGTAAAGTCAGGGGAAAGTCTGAGGATCACCCCTTTGGTCTGAGCTGAGGTTTGCTTTACTGATCTTCAGTTTGAAACTTGAACACCAATATCTGTCTCTGGGTCTTTTATTTATCTTGCTACAGTCCTCCAAATTAGAAAACTATTTTTATAAAAGAAACTCTCAGGAAACCCCTTCCCACATTAGAAAAGCAGGCAGGATCTGATAATTAGATAGTTGTGGGTTGGAGCATGAGAACTTCCCAAAGGGCTTTACCAAAACAAGCTGTGGGCAGAGTTAATATACAGTACAGGGTGGAAATTGTTTCTAAGGATAGACAACTTCACACTCACCCATGCTGACAGGCTCTATTCACTAGTTTCACATGTGAGTCATCTGGAAGCTCATGGAGTTCTTTCACAGGCTCACATCCTTCTGGAGGGGCAAAGTTGAGATTGCTTTTAGGTTCCTCATACCAAAAAGGAGGATGACTCAGAGACCAAAAGAACCTTATGAGCAAGACTTTATTGTCCTGAAGGCAATGAGTGGATTTGTTTCCCATAACTTACAGTAAGGGTCACAAGTGTGTTCATGTTATTCGAGAGACAGAGGAACCTATTTCTACATATATACCAACTATGGTGGCCTAAGAGGGTGGTGGCCTAGAGTGCAAACTTCTGACATAAACACCAACAGCAGCATTCTACTCCAGAACTGAAAGAACACAACAGGTGATGCCAATCTGAAACTTTGAAGGCATTGTTCAGGAAGTTCTTATCCTCCACAGAATGTTTTCTGTTCTATAGATATACCTGTGATCCTGGGTTTATGCTGTGGGAAACAAATCTATCTACTGCCTGTCTTCAGAACTGTGAAGTCCTGACTGTGTCTTGCTTTTTGGTATGAGTCTTCTTTAAAAGTTCTTCTCTGAATATGTTCCAAATCCAAGGGTACACTCATGCAAAGATCACAATACAACACATATATAACTTTTGGTACAATGGAGAAAATATATGAAGGAAATCTGTGTCCACTTTGCCTTTTAAAAAAGATGCTTGTTTTGAGTAGTAAATAATAAATAAGACTAAATTATAGGGGCTGGAGATGTAGCTTATACTGGCCAAGTTTGTGCAAGGCCCTGAGTTAGAGCTCTGGTCCTTCAATTAAAAAACAGAAAAGAAAAATATAAATAAGTAAATATCATTTTACTGGATTTAGGTTGTTTTTTTTTTTTTTTTTTACCTTTTTCACAAAGTGGAATTTCAGGATCCCAGGTATTATTGGCTTTACAACGAATCCGACTACTTCCATTCAGTATGTATCCATTGTTACACTTGATTGTCACACTATCATTGTAGAAGTATGGGGCTTCATTGTAAGTGAGCTTATGTCCATTTTCCACATGGACATCTGAGCACTGAACAGCAGGGAGGGAAAGTTTACAGAGAGGAGCAGGGCCACTCCAGGAGCCTCTTCCTCTGCTGCCACTTATACAACGGATGGTACGTTCCCCAATGAGGTTGAATTGCACTCCTTCCTCTGGCCCAGGATAACACTTGTAGGTGATCACAGTTCCATATGGGACATCATCTAAGGAATTTCCTGTATGTGTCCCATTGTGGATAATAGGAGGTGGTGGGCAGGTGATTTCTGGAGCACAAAAATGATACTGAAGACATCTGATTCAAGGTTAGAAGTGCAGTAGTTCTAACAATGTTTCACTGGAGGGTGTGGATGAATGCTTGTGCTATGAATGTCAAACATTGTGTATATAAAATTTGATTTAAACAGATTTTAGTGAAAATAAGATTGTTATTGAAAATAAACATATTATGATATAGTTAGATCCAATATTTATATTCTAATTAAATTAATAATTATTTTATCAAGTCAATATGAGAATAAAAGGCACAAGTGATAGAATCATGTTTTTGTAATATATCTTGTTACAATAGCTATATGGCTGGCCCAGGAAAGCTGTTGTTGATTTGGCACCTACTTTACAATAGGAAGTTTTATCATCCAGAAAATAGGTACAATGTGATTTTATTCTAATAACTGAAACCTGCAGTTTGGTAACACTTTTACAAGTGAGACTAGTGTTTCTACAAGTCATATACGTTGCCAAAGGTCATAGAAGTATTATTAGACAGTAAGAATAGAATCTGAGTTCTGAGTTCATATTTAACACCAATCTCCCAATCTCTTTATTCAGCCTTGGTGTAACCCGAAGTAGGGACAGTTGATAGATAGTTATCATTCTTTACGCTCTGGTAACCCTAAACCACAACATAAACTTGGAAACTAAGTATATGGAATTTGACTGATTAAAGTAGAACGAGCTAATGGAAGAAAGATGGCAAAATAGCCATAAAACTTAAGGAAATAATGTGCTAATTCCTATAACATGGTCTAAAAATAGTATACTCATCCATATTATATCACTTTAAATCCTTTGACAATTTTGTTACTTACCTTTACAAAGACGGATCTCTATAAACCAAAGAATTTTACCTTGACACGGCTGATAAGCACTTTCACTTAACTGGGACCTGGAGAGAATGAGTCATATCATTTGGCCATGTGGTTACCAATAAGCTAAGCAAGCACTATGGGCTCCAAAGGCAGACTGACAAATTGTAGGGCAAAATGCAACAGGAAAAAATATAGCCAACTTCAGCACCCTTCATCAATTTTGTAGTTCCCAAGCATGGAAAAACATTGTGATAAACAATCTGTGAGCATATGACTAAGGAAGTCTTTTAACATGAACTCTTATACAGTTTTCAGTGGGCACTGATAAGGCAGACCTCATTTAGGATGAGACATGCTTCACTCACCCTTCATCACAAGAAGAATTAACAGCTGTCCTAATAAAATGATTCTGAGGCCTCTTAAAAAGATATGGTCCTACTGGTTTACACTCTGCAACTAAGAAAAAAAGATAAGGATGAGTAACAACACAAGACAATCTTAGGCAAAGTATCTGTAGTTGTATTGTAGTACCTTTACACTGAGGGGCAGTGGGTGTCCACTTCCCCTCAGGAGTACAGTATATGGTGTCCGCCCCCACCAGTAAATAGCCAGGATCACAGCTGTATCTTATGGATGTTCCAGGGTCAAAGTTGAGGAAGTGCCTATCGTCTTTTTGCCCATTGATGATTTTAGGAGGAGCTTGACATTCTAAAGGAAAAACAGATACAATGCAACATTTTAGAGTAAAAAATAGAAACTGAGCCAAAGCAGTCAAAATTAATATGATAATCCCATACTTACGTCAGCTATCTGTAATACGTGATATTTTGCAGTCCTTAGATAATTTCAGGTTATCATTTCTCAATCATATTTTTTTTCTGTATTCAGGCTGCCACTGATCTATTTGAATTCTGCTTGCTCACCTCCTGTCCCCCACCCACAACTCTTTCTTTTTTTCCCTTTTACTATTTTTTTTAAAGATAGTATTTTACTATGTACTCCAGGTTGATCTCAAATTCACAACATTTTTGTACCAATCTCCTCAGTTATGGCAGTGTTTGGCATGTGCCACTACACCATCTTTTCCCTTCTGAAGGAATTATCTTAGAAGACTATAGATTTCAATATATTCCCAGGTGAAAGCTTTGGTAACTTTCCTTTAAAAAAATCACTGTTAAGACAAAAAAAATTATTTTTGTTCTCATATTTCTTAAAGAAGTGGACAACTTAGTAAACTCTAGTGTATTTTCCATAGTGGTAATGGAGTGCTATGAAAGTCTTCTTTATACTTTATATCTACTATTGTATGACAGAAGGTGTAGGGACTACAAAGTACCTTACATAAAGTTCATAGGTCGTTCCTATACATTTTTGAAATGCTCCATTTTCTGATTAATAAGCACCTACCTTTTTCACACACTGGTATGGATGGCTCCCATGAGCCCTGGGCATTGCATCGGATTCTCCTGCTGCCCTTCAAATTGAACCCAGATTCACAAGAAATTGTCACAGTATCATTATAGGAATATCTATCTTTCAAATCTGATAACATTTGGCCTCTATCTATCTGGGGCTTTAGACACTGAACTGCAGAAGTTGAAAGTTCACAACGTGGAGGAGGGCCACTCCAAATCCCACTCTTCTTACTGTCGCTGGTACAATAGATAGTCTTCTCTCCAATAAGAATGAAGTTCACTCCTTTCTCTGGGCTTGAGTCACAGATGTAGGTAACTGTGCTTCCATATGGTACATTTGTTGAAAAGCTGCCTGTATGTCTTCCATTAAGAACAGGTGGAGGTGGGGGGCAGAGAATTTCTAGAGAAGGTAAAGGACAGTGATTTCTGAATCTGCAATAAGTCATTCAGTCAACTAATTTTGCAATATAATTACAAATATGGTCTTAAAAGTTCATTTTTGAGTATGTCTCCTTTGCTGATTTTTTAGTTTAGTTACCAAATACACAATCTTCTTTAGGTACGTGACTCGAATTCTGTCACCAAGATCATGTATCTTTGAGAGAAAGAAAAGCTGCTTGCTTCTTTTGACTTAAGGAAAAAGAATAATAATAATAAAAAATTGAAAGGCATTGCACTACAGACCAGACCCTTAAGATTTCTAGTTTTATTTTGCTGTGAGCATACACACACACACACACACACACACACACACACACACACACGCATGCGTGCATGCACACACACACACACATACAAGATTATACGAAGAAATTCATACTTATAGGAAAGCCAAGGCTGCACTGTGTGTGGACCCCTGTATTTCCTTACCAAACCACTATTGTCTTACCTACCTTTACATACTGGCTTCTTGGTCCAAATGGCTTTCTGTTCAACAATTACACACTGACTAGGTTGTCCTTGTAATTGATACCTAGATACAGGGGTTGAAATTTAGTACTATTAGGCAGCTTGTGCTGAAAAACTGGTTAACTTTAAATGTACATGTTCACTTAATCTGTATAGCTACTCTTTTATTAGTATTCTCTTTTACTACCTCTCTGCAGATTATTCCTGAATAATAACCAGGCTCATCCATGTTCCTTCTGTTGGCTTTGTAGTTCACAGCAAGCACATATAATACAATTGCATTAAATTTTACACTCTAAACACTCACCCTTCATTACAGGAGAAGTACACAGTTTTGCCAACCTGAAGATTCAGAGGCCCTTTTATCTGCCCATTGGGGATCTCTCCTGGAGGTTCACACTTGGCCTCTAGGAAAAATGGCAAGACTAAGAAATAAATCATAGTAAATATCAGGGCAGTCCCCCCCCCCAGTAGATAGTAAATTTAAGATACCTTTGCATGTGGGGATGACACTATCCCAGTCTCCTGAAGATAAGCACTTAATTGTCTTTTGTCCAATAAGCAAATAACCAGGATCACAAATGTATGTCACAGACAACCCTGCAACAAACTGGCCAACATGCTGTCCTGTGTGGTGTCCATTATGGATCATGGGAAGTGATGGGCACACTAGAGGGAAATCTTAATACATACACATAGGGGGAAAAGCCATCAGATAATATATATGAATCTAGATGCCTGCATAGGACACATTTATAAATAAATAGCATGCAATCTCTGGTCACCAGACCAGTCACCATTAACTTTTAACTCATTCCCAAACAGATATGGCTTGTTTCCTTTTATGGAAAAATAATTGCAATTTTGGGAGGACATGGTCTCACTATGTAACCCTGGTAGGCCTGGAACTCTCTATGTAAATCAGGCTACCTTTGAACTCACAAACATCCACCTGCCTCTGCCTCCCAAGTGTGAATATTAAAGGTATGTACCACCACACCCAGCTTTATTGTGTTATTTTCATCTTTAATTATATTTTAGCATTGAGAAAAATTTCAGTTACTGGAAATGTTCAGTTTTGTTCATCTGTAAGCTTATCATTCAAAGGATTATCCTATTAGACATTATTAATACAATTTATTAGTATCTTATATATTAACATATATAAAAATATGCACATTATGTATAACACATACTATTTTAATGTTTTTTATTCCATGATAATTTTTTCATTCGAATATGTATAGGTCCACCCAAATCTTTATTTTCCATAGACGATCTGTTTTGAGATTACTGGTTAATCAACCTACTGATATATAAGTAAAATAAATATAATTTGTAGTAGTTGGGATAGATCTAGGCAAGCACTCTTTCATTGAGTTACACCTACAATCCCTTTTGTTCCTTTTTATTTTGAGACAAGATCTGGCTAAGTTGCCCATGCTGGCTTTAAAATCACAGTGTACTCCAAGCAGGCCTTGAACTTGTAATTTCTTAGTTCATCCTCCTGTGAAGCTGAAATTGCAGCTCTGTGCTCCCAGGCCAGAGTGAATCATATTCATAAACAATGTAGCACTTCCTAAGCTCTATAATCTATTTAGAATGTATCAATATTGTTCTTTATTAGAAATTTTTTGAGTCCATCCTACTTCGGAGACTTCTCGGAGCAGTTCTGAACAAAGGAGACCTGACTATCCACACAGGACCACCCGTAATTTCCACCTGCTTGGTCTCTGACCCCACCTCCAGTCCTCTGCTGGAGTCCCGGGCCCCTCCCAGAGATCCGCCTATCTCTGCGGGTCCACTCTGAGTTCCTGCTGGCATCTTCTACTGGATCCTCATCCTTGACCCCATCCCTAGGTCCCTGACTGCAGAGAAACCCCACAGAGCTACAGATATTGAATCTCAGACCCACATAAGCCCACCGGGGAAGTACCATAGATAGAGGGGGAGACCCCACCAACACCTACTGGAAGAAGTTATGGGAAGAAGGCAAGACAAGAAAACACCTAACAACAGAAAGACAAGCATGACACCACCAGAATCTAGGGAATCTACACCAACTAGAATGGAACACAACAACAAAGCAGAGGAAGCAGAAGGGAACGACTTAAAAATTACCATCATAAAAATGATAGAGGCCCTCAAAGAAGATGTGAGAAAATCCCTTAAAGAAATGGAGGAAAAAACAAACAAAAAAGTGGAAGAAATGGACAAATTCCTTAAGGAAAGTACAGAAAGCCAAGAAAAAACAATTAAGCAGGTGAAGGAAACAGTTCAAGCCTTGAAAACTGAAATAGAGAAAATAAAGGCAACACAAACTGAAGGAAATAGAAAAACTGGGCAAAAAATCGGCAACTACAGACACAAGCATAACCAACAGAATTCAAGAGATGGAAGAGAGAATCTCAGGCGCAGAAGATTAAACTAGAAGAAATAGATTCATTGACCAAAGAAAATCATAAATCAACAAATCCTTAACACAAAACATCCAGGAAATGTGGGACACCATGAAAAGGCCAAACCTAAGAATAATAGGCATAGAGGAAGGTGAGGAAGCCCAGCTCAAAGGTGCCGAAAACATATTCAACAAAATCATCGAGGAAAACTTTCCAAATCTGAAGAAGGACATGCCCATGAAAGTACAAGAAGCATACCGAACCCCAAATAGGCTGGACCAAGGAAAAAAGACCCCTCGACATATAATAATCAAAACACCTAGCATACAGAATAAAGAAAGAATATTAAGTTCAGCGAAGGAAAAAGGACAAGTAACATATAAAGGCAGACCTATCAAAATTATACCTGACTTCTCCATGGATATCCTCAAGGCCAGAAGGTCCTGGATGGATGCTCTAAAAGTATTAAGAGAACACGGATGTCAGCCTAGGCTACTATATCCAGCAAAACTCTCGATCACTATAGATGGAGAAAACAAGATATTTAATGACAAAACCAGATTTTCCCAATATGTATCTACAAATCCAGCCCTACAGAAAGTATTGGAAGGAAAACTCCAACCCAAGGAAGGTAACTATGCCCACAAAAATGTAGGCAACAGATAATCCAACTACACCAGAAACCAAGGGTAGAGCAGAACTAATATATTCACAATACCACTGCCAACAACAAACCTAAATCAAACAAGCATCAACAATCAATGGTCCTTACTCACCCTCAACATTAATGGTCTTAACTCACCTATAAAAAGACACAGGCTAACAGAATGGATACGAAGACAGAACCATCCTTCTGCTACATACAAGAAACACATCTATGCTTCAAAGGAACCTCAGGGTTGGGAAAAGATTTTACAATCAAATGGCAATAAGAAGCAAGCAGGCATAGCTATCTTAATATCTAACAAGTTAGACTTCAAACCAAAATTAGTCAAAAGAGATGAAGACAGTCATTTCATATTCATCCCAGGAGAAATCCATCAACACACAGTCTCAGTTCTGAACATCTATACCCCTAATACAAAGTCACCCACATTCGTAAAAGAAACACTACTAAAACTCAAAGCTCATATAAAACCTCACACACTTATAGTGGGAGACTTCAATATACCACTGCCAAAACTAGACAGGAACACCAATCAGAAACTCAACAAAGAAACAAAAGAATTAACAGAAGTTATGTCTCAACTGGGGTTAACAGACATCTATAGAACATTCCATCCAAACACAAAAGAATATACCTTCTTCTCTGCTCCACATGGAACCTTCTCTAAAATCGACCACATACTAGGTGACATAACAAACCTCAACAGATACAAAAGAATAGGAATAGTCCCCTGTATCTTATCAGACCACCATGCTTTAAAATTGGAATTCAACAACAACACAAATAGAAGAAAACATGCAAACTCATGGAAACTGAACAATGTGCAATTGCACCACTCCTGGGTCAAAGAAGAAATAAAAAAAGAAATTAAGAACTTTCAATATTCAATGAGAATGAGGACACAACATACCCGAACTTATGGGACACCTTGAAAGCAGTGCTACGAGGGAAGCTCATTGCACTAAGTGCCCATATGAAGAAAACAGAGCGTAGTCACATGAGAGAATTAACAGCGCAACTGAAAGCCTTAGAACAGAGAGAATCTAATTCACCCCGAAGGAGTAGATGCCAGGAAATAATCAACTTGAGGGCTGAAATTGAAACCAGGAAAACAATACAAAAAATCAATGCAATGAAGAGTTGGATTTTTGAGAAAATCGACAAGATAGACAACGAAAAAGCAGAGACAGAATATGCAAATTAACAAAATCAGAAACGAAAAGGGGAACATAACAACAGACAGAGAGGAAATCCAGACAATTTTCAGGTCATACTTTGAAAATCTGTATTCCACAAAAATTGAAAATTCAAAGGAAATGGACAAATTTCTGGATAACTATCACTTACCAAAATGAAATCAAGAACAGACAAACAACTTAAATAGACCTATAACCCACAATGAAATAGAAGCAGTCATTGAAAGCCTTCCAACCAAAAAAAGTCCAGGGCCAGTTGGATTCAATGCAGAATTCTACCAGACATTCAAGGCAGAACTAATACCACTACTCCTGCAACTGTTCTACAAGATAGAAACAGAAGGTTCATTGCCAAACTCTTTTTATGAGGCCACAATAACCTTGGTGGTACCCAAGCCTCACAAAGACACAACTAAGAAAGAAAACTATAGACCAATATCCCTGATGAACACCGATGCAAAAATACTCAATAAAATACTGGCAAACCGAATTCAAGAATACATCAGAGAAATCATCCACCATGACCAAGTAGGCTTCATCCCTGGAATGCAGGAATGGTTTAACATACGAAAATCTATCAACGTGATCCACCATACAAACAAACAGAAAAAGAAAAACCATATGATTATCTCCCTAGATGCAGAAAAAGCCTTCGACAAAATTCAACACCGTTTCATGATAAAGGTCTTGGAGAGGTCAGGGATAACAGGAACATACCTAAACATAATAAGAACAATATACAGCAAACCAACTGCCAACATCAAACTGAATGGAGAGAAACTTAAGCCAATTCTCCTAAAATCAGGAACAAGACAAGGCTGTCCTCTCTCTCTCCATATCTCTTCAATATTTAGAAGTTCTAGCTAATGCTATCGGACAACAAAAGGAGATCAAGGGGATCCAAATTTGAAAGGAAGAAGTCAAACTGTCTCTATTTGCAGATGATATGATAGTTTACATAAGTGACGCAATAAACTACCAGGGAACTCCTACAGCTGATAAACACCTTCAGCAAACTAGCAGGATACAAGATAAACTCAAAAAAATCAATAGCCTTACTTTTTTCAGATGACAAAGAGACAGAGAAAGAAATCAGAGAAACATCACCCTTTACAGTAACCACAAGCAACATAAAGTATCATGGTGTAACTCTTACCAAACAAGTAAAAGACCTATATAATAAGAACTTTGTGGCTCGAAAGAAAGAAATTAAAGAAGATTCCAGAAAATGGAAAGATCTCCCATGCTCTTGGATAGGTAGGATAAACACAGTAAAAATGGCAATCTTGCCAAAAGCAATCTACAGATTCAATGCAATCCCCATTAAAATCCCACCACATTTCTTCACCGACTTTTAAAAGGATAATAATCAACTTTATATGGAAAAAACAAAAGACCCAGGATAGCCAAAACAACCCTATACAAGAACTTCAGGAGGCATCACCATTCCTGACTTTAAGCTCTACTACAGAGCTATAGTTCTGAAAACAGCCTGGTATTAGCATAAAAATAGACAGGTAGACTAATGGAATCGAATCAGGAATTGAAAATCCTGATATTAACTCACACACGTATGAACACCTGATTTTCGACAAAACAGCTAAAATTATACAATTGGGCAAAGACAGCATCTTCAACAAATGGTGCTGGCACAATTGGATGAGGGTGTGTAGAAGACTGCAGATAGACCCATGTCTGTCGCCATGCACAAAACTCAAGTCCAAATGGATCAAAGACCTCATCAACATCAATCCAGCCACATTGAACCTCTTAGAAGAGAAAGTAGGAGGTACCCTTGAACAAATTGGTATAGGAGACCACTTCCTGAGCATAACTCCAGGGGCACAGACACTGAGAGAAACAATTAATAAATGGGACCTCTCCAAACTTAGAAGCTTCTGTAAGGCAAAGGACACAGTCGATAAGATCAAACGGCAGCCCACAGACTGGGAAAAGATTTTCACCAATCCTATATCCGACAAAGGGCTAATCTCCAAAATATACAAAGAACTCAAGAAACTAGTCAACACAACACCAAATAACCCTATTAAAAAATGGGGTACAGAACTGAAGAAGGAAATCTCAATAGAGGAAATCAAAAAGGCTGAAAGACACTTAAGAAAATGCTCCACATACCTAGCTATCAGGGAACTGCACATCAAAACAACTTTGAGATACCATCTTACTCCTGCCAGAATGGCTAAAATTAGAAACACCAATGATGCCTCATGTTGGAGAGGATGTGGAGAAAGGGAAACACTCCTCCACTGCTGGTGGGAGTGCAAACTCATACAGCCATTTTGGAGATCAGTATGGTGGTTCCTCAGGACAATGGGAATTAGTTTACCATAGAACCCGGCAATCCCCCTCTTAGGCATATATCCAAAGGATTCACATCCATGCAACAAAGACATCTGTTCAACTATGTTCATAGCAGCACTATTTGTAATAGCAAGAACTTGGAAGCAACCTAGATGCCCCTCAATTGAAGAATGGTTAATGAAGATGTGGCACATCTACACAATGGAATACAGGAAAAAATAATGGTATCTTGAAATTCGCAGGCAAGTGGATGGCACTTGAAGAAACCATCCTGAATGAGGTAACCCAGTCACAAAAAGAGGAACATAGTATGTACTCACTCATATATGGATTTTAGACCTAGATCAAAGGATCATCAGCCTATAATTCACACCATCAGATGAACTAGGATGCAAGGTGTATTCTAAGAGAGTCATATAAAGTCCCTCACAGAACTGGGAAGGGACAAGTCCCCCAGAGCTCAGGGGAAGTGGGGGGGGGGGGCAGCGAATGGAGAGAGAAGTAGGAGAAAACGAGGGGGAGGAAAGGAAAACATGTGCGACCAGGAAGATTGAGCCTGGTTAGGAATAGAAGACAGGAAAGAAAGAGAGAGACACACACAGAGAGAGAACATAAACTATGGAGCCAATGTTGGTTTGAAGATAAAATTGAACACAAAGAAAGGTCTAGAGAACTACATGACTGCTCCCAACTAACAATCTCAGCTTCCGTGGAAAGGCTATCATAAATGCCCTTCCCGGAGAGTGAGATCAACAACTAACTTATCCATGGAGCCCTCAACTGATGCCTGTTGGAAACAGAAGCAAACACCCATACATAAACACTGAGTCGAAGTAGAACTCAGATGCAGAGGGAGAGGACAAGACCAGGCGGCAGAAACACATAGAGACAGCTTACCTGAACAAGGAGGAGCTAACAGGCCACCAGACTGATAGCTGGGAAGCCAGCATGGGACTGACTCAGGCCCCCCTGAATATGGGTCTCAGCCAGAAGGTGGTTTGAGTAAAGAGATTACTTGTGAACATGTTTGTAGAGGCAACTCAGCATTGGGAATGGGTTCCAAAAAGCCAGCTCATGTGCCAGGAACAAGTCCCTGGGAACATGCAATAAAATGATCTGCCCATAAATGGAAGATCATAGTCTTCTGCAAGGTTCTACTTCCATACCCAACACTCTTACAGCCCCAGCCCTTGATGAAGCTTTGTTTCCACACTCAGGGCTCTCACAGCTTGTAGGCTCCAGGCCCTTGACTAGGTTTTAATTATGTACTTACTGCTTTCACAGATTGGCAGTGGTGTTGGTCCCCACATCTTATTTGCTTGGCACCAGACTGTTTTGGTTCCTTTCATGGTGAAGTTGGCTCTACAGGTAAATGTCACAGAATCACCATGTTTGAAAGGTGGTCTAGATCTTTTATCTTTGAATCCACCTGGTACACTGGGCTCTGAACAACCAGAATGTTTATTCAAAATTTCACATACAGGAGGAGCTTTATCCCAAGTGCCATTCACTTGATCTTTACTTATGCAAAAAAGAGTCTTTTCTCCAATGAGACGGAAGCCAGGTAAACAGCTGTACTGCACAACTGTTTGAAGGGGTATGGGAAGAGAATAATGGGGTTTCCGAGCATTTTCGACTTCAGGAGGAGGGTCACAAGAAATCTCTGTAAAATAAAAAAGAGACCAAGTGAGCATATTAATCATTTAAAACTAAATAAATAAAAGCTCCTAGTACAGATCAAATCACTTTTCCAGAAATATACTAAGAAATCAAATGCTTTGTTATGATTTTACTTATAAATTGTTCATTTCTAAATGCTTAAGTTCTTACCTCTTTCTTGATCCTTGTCAAAGAAATCAATATAAATCACCTTAACCAAATAAGGAAGTAGAAAAGAAAGCTATCTAGTCTGTACTTTCAGAGATTATTTCTATAATTTTTGTACTCCAAATACTTTCAATAAACAAAGAGGCAAACTTAAAATATTTAATGACATGCTAATTGCATGTAGGGAGTCAACATGAACGGATCTGGGCTCAATAGTCCTGTTTTCAAATCCTCACTGTCATTCAATAGCTGTATGACCTTAGGCAAGTCGTACCCTCCCCTAGCTTCAGTTTCCTGTAGTTCAGGTTACATAAGGTATGATAAGAATATAGTGAGATAAAAGCATGTGAAATGGGCCAGTACAGTACTCAAAGCACACTAATTATGCAGTACCTGTTTGAAACACACAGCTAGCTTGTGGGTAGTATAGTCAGTGACATTAGATACAGTTACCGAAGACATTGCAACCTCATTACAAGTCATTTAAGGCCCCTTAATGCTAGGTTCCTTTGAGAAAACTATCTGATTATTGATCTCGTATTCTTTTTACATCCTGGTCTCATGAAGGCTATTAGTTGTTAACAGCTACTATGATAATATATACACATCTTTTCTGGGAAAGTTACAGAATAAAGAGAAAATTGTCAGTGTCTGATTTTTCAGTACCGTCCATTTTGCTCCAGGTAGAGCTCTTCAGTACAAGAAACAACATATAGAGGCATAACCAGAGTTTTAGTACACTAGAAAGTGTTCTGCTTGGTTTTGTTATAGGTAACTTTCCAGAGCATTTATTACTTTATTTAAAGAATCACAACTTAATATGTTAAGAAGTGAACAAATTAAAAATTTTTCCTTCATTTTAAACAGAGAAAAGTGGCAAATATTTTTAAAAGTATATAGTTGGATGATGTTTTATTTAGTAACTGTATGGGAATATAGAATCAAGAGACAAGTTCCATATTTGATTATTCTTATTTTTTACTCACGTTCACAAACAGGAAACTTATTATTCCAGATTACTGTCTCTCCTTCTGGGACACACTGACTAGAAGATTTTCCATTTAACTGGAACCTTAAACAATAAGGAGCAGCAAATAATCACTAGAACAAAATATTTTTCAATTGTACAGACTGAATCACTTCTTTCAAGTATTCATAGGATGGTATGCATTTTAAAATACTTCTGTCTTAAGAAAAAGCCCACAGTTACTTTTGAATCTGGTGGTCTACTGAACAATGAATAAATAATGGATTAAAACATATTGAAAATGCATCTTTTCTTTGGAATTCTCCCTCTCCTCTTCAGTATTCAAATGTCAAGATTTTGTTGAGTATTCCTATAGAGAAAATAGCAAAGACCTTCTTTCCCAAGTTTATTCCAATGAGTCTGACTAAGTCCAAATTTTATATCCATTCTCTATAACAGGAGTCTTAATCTGCAAACTAAAACCTTGCAGTTCCAGATGATGAAGTGACAGTACCTACTTTTACTGGTCAAGCACACTTGAAGAAAATAAAAAGGAATTGAGTAGTAACAGAGTTCTTAGTCAGATAAGGCCAAGTAAAAGAAAGAAAATAATGAGTAAAAACTTATCTATCTTCAGAACTCATACTTTGAAATCATTATGGGAAACAATCAATGCAGGACCTTTCACTTTACACTCACCCTTGATCACAAGCAAAGGAAACCTCTGCCCCAAGTTGGAGATTAAGAGGAAGAAACACATGGCCATTGAGAAGTTGGTTTGGAATGGCATCACATGATTTCACTAGGAAAGAAGAGAGAAGGCTTGCACATGAAGAGTCAGGAAACAGTTGTGTTTCCTTTGAATAGAGCTCTAAGCACCTTCACATGTTGGGGCTGTATGGCTCCAGGTTCCCAAGGATGTACACTGCACAAGGTTAGTTCCAATGAGAGTATAGCCAGGTTCACAGCTATATGACACTTCCTGGTCAACAGAAAAGAATTCCTCATCTCTTTTGTTATAATCACCATGGAGGATATTTTGAGGTGGTAGACATCCTAAGGGAAGAACAGGAGCAGGAAGTCCTTTTATTTCTGCAATAAGAACTTTATTCTTTATAACTTCAGTTATCTTGGGTTTAGTTGAGTGGAATAAAGAAGTCCATGGCACTGGACAGTGGTAGCACACACCTTTAATCCAAGCACTTGGGAGGCAGAGGCAGGTGGATCTCTATGACCAGCCTGATCTATAGAGCTAGTTCCAGACAGCCTGCCTCCAAAGCCACAGAGAAACCCTGTCTCAAAAACAAAACAAAACAAACAAACAAACAAACAATGACTTTGGCAATTCTTCCACGCTAAGGCAGAGAGTAGGGTCACAGAGTGGGGTTAAGCCTTTTGCCGCCCAGATGTAGAAAGCTATATGTCTATCTGCTTTCTATTTCTTGATCTATGTCAGGAAATATTACTCTTACTTATTTTTCACTTCATTCTACTAAAGATCTGAGATATGCTTCCACCAATAGGGCAGTCAAGGAACCAAATTTTGTAACACAAAATTTCCCTACCCAAATCTGACATATCATTTTTACTACAAAAACAAGGTTTATGAGGCTTCTGAACTTTGTTGTCAGGCTTTTATAAAGGCAGGCAATTCACATTAAGACTAGAAGGAGAGAATGGTGGCCACAGGCTCAAGATCTAACTAGCAGCTTTCTTCCACAACATTCATTTTGAGTACCAAGATGGATGTTTACAAATTTTTGAATCAAATTCTTATCTTAGGCAATTCTGTCTTTCAATATGGCCAATACAATGAAGAGTTTATTTTATCATCATTTAAATAAAATATAATAATTAAAAGCTTTAATGATCAACTTTTGTACTGTGTTTTATTCTTTAAAAGACATAATTGTACATACTTATAAAATCTCATGTGATACTCATATGAGTAAGTATATTGTATAATATGAAAATAAGAGTAAACATAGCTGTCTTCTAAAACTTAACATTCCTTTGCAGTGAAAACTTTCAAAATCCTTTATACTAGATTTTAAAATATATACAACAACTCTCATAATATACAGTGGTAATTCTGTTCATAGGGACACCAGAACTTACTTCTATTTAATCTGACTTTTATCTCCATTCTTAACAGCATTTGATACATTGTATAATGGAGAGGTCTTTATATATGTAGGAGTGGTTTCAGGTCCTCATACTTGTGTATGTGTATGCACATGGGAGTGTACACTGATACTTATGCATGTAGAGGACATGACCTTGTTTTATGAAACAAGTCTTCTCAATGGGAACTGTAGCTCACCAACTAAGCTAGACTAGCTGGTCAGCAAGCCTTAGAGATCTGTCTGTCTGCCTTGCAAATTCCAGGATTATAAGCATGTGTCACCACATGAACCTTTTCAATATAGGTTCTCTGTGTTAAACTCAAGCCTTTATACTTGTACAACAAGAACTTTATACACTGAACCAGTTCTATATTTTGTTTTTTTTCTTTTATGATTAATTTTAGCTGAAGAGAAGTCATATATCATTGTGATTTGATTTGCACTTCATTGATGATTAGTAATATTAAACATTTTGCCATAAATTTGTTGTCCATTTTATTTTAGTTTTGAAAAATATCTAATGTATACTTTGAAGTTAGATTTCTTTTCCCCATTATATATGATCTCTCTTTATTGTTTCACTTGTCATAGAGATACTTTTTATTCTACATAATTAGTTTTTTATGCCATTGTTTTCTATGCTTTTCATGGTCTTATCCAAAGCATGTTAACTATTCGAATGTTCTTAACTATTATTATCTATGTTCTTCAAAGAGTTTCATGTCTCATAATTCTACTTTAAAACATCCCAATGACTTTTTAAAAGTGTGTTATACTTTCCCCCTACAATTATAGTACTGCCCCAGAATATAATAAAATCCTCATCTCTTTGACAGAGATTCTATACTCATGGAATGGTAAAGTTAAAAAATATTGCTTCCAAAATTTACTTTCAAATCCTTTATCTTGAAAATCCAGTCACATATTCCTCCTATACTTTCTGTAGGTACCTTGTATCTATTATGCAAAACCTCATATTTTATTTACAGATATCATCCCAACTTACCCTTGAAGCATGTTGGCAGTGGAGGGCTCCATTTGCTGTTTGGCTGGCACCATACTATATTGCTGCCATTCATAGTAAAACCAGGCTTGCACTTAAACATTACTGTATCGTTTAAGAAGAAGGAGTGTTTAAATCCATACTCCACATCTCCATTTTCAATTTCTGGCACTGGGCAATTGACTATACCAATACACTGAGGGGGTAGACTATTCCAGATGCCAATTTTATTGTCTTTGCTGGTGCAATATATTGACTTCTCACCCACTAGGTCAAACAGTTTTTCCCTATTCTTTCCAAGATGGCAGTGATAAGTTACTACCATTCCATAGAAAAAGCTGTCTCTACTGCTGCTGTAGAAGTCCCCATTGGCGATGGCTGGAGGTGATTCACAAGGAATAGCTTTTGAAATGAAGTAGTTAAGAAAAGAGAGAAGGCATTGAAATGTTATATTTTCTGAAAATTTAGTCTTCATTTTCATAAACCAAACTTAAACTTTACCTATAACATGTCTATAATATCAGAATTCTGTGTTCTGATCTAAATAAAAGTAAGCTAGAAAGGAAAATACATGGAACTGGCTGGTAAAAAGTCAAAAAGTTATGAGCCCAGACAGACTACAGACACTCTGTTACTAGAGACTTCTTAGGGTGATCTACTTTTGCATGGTTACATTTGTCAGTGTGTAATTGCATGCCTATTTTAAATGTAATAATCTATTCACTATTAAATAATATCATAAAAGAACATTAGTGGAAAACTATTATAGAACTAGAGATCATGGAAGAATTCCATTCAGAGCTGTGTCCATAACAACCCAAACTTAGTGAGACTTCCCAGGCACTCATTTTTATGTGCAGATGCCAAGTTTCCCTTTAGAAAGAGATAAGAGTAATTTAGTAGGATGCCATAAAGAGACTATTTTACTCACATTCACAATAAGGAATATTATTATCCCAAGTTACACCCTTGCCTGAGGCAATACATGTAGCAGATGAGTCACCAATGAGTCGATATCTGGAAGCAAAGAGGTGATTGATCACATCCAAGTTACACTTAGTACTTTAGAAAAGCCTATGTTTTTCCATTTAAAGAATGAGAAAAGGTAGAATATCATGAATGATACAGTGAAGTATTGATAAAGAAGGACTTCTATAGTAGGTCAATGGTCTATAGCCAAATGGTCTGACTTCCTTGTCAATAACACTGGAGACTTCTTTCCTTCTAAGGATCCTCTTAACTGAGTAACACCAAAGCGTCACTTCTGAAGCAAGTCAAAGAGACCATGCTTTTGTATTAATTCATATTAAAAGGTTTCTGATTAGAAATATTATTTCAGTATCCACACATCCTACAAATGCTTCCTGCCTACTCACCCGTTATTACAAGAATATGTAATTGTTGACCCAAACGTGATACCCGTATTTATATGCACAGAGCCATGGAGGAGTTCACTGGGAGTTGTACATGCTTTACCTACAAGGGAAACAAAATAGGACTTGGCGCTGGAATGGAGAAGACATTGTATGTTTTCTATTAAATCTCCTGAGGGACTTGCTGATGGTCCTGCATGTGTTCTTTTCAAAGCAATTTTTGAGATTTGTAAAATGTGTATTTTCTCAAGAGGCAATCAATTTTGGAAAACTGTTAAAACCCTATTGTCTATGTTTCTGTGTATGAGAGAAAACTTTGTTTGTGGTTAATTGTATATTAAAACCTCAATTTTCTCTTTATTAAAATATATCAGTTAATGGCATCACCTACTAAGTCTCCTATATTAAAAACCTAAAGCCATTATTTCCATTCTATAACTCATCCTATAATACTTCATTTAATTCAATAAATTAAAAAATTTTAGTGTCTGGATTCCAGAATATCTCCTCAAACCACTTAGGCATATTTTTTACAGTTTTACTGGATTGTTGAGTGGCAAAATTTACTTTCTAATGCTGGCATTCCTTGGTGAAGTACTTCTTCCATAGCATGGCATGAGTTTTCTTTTTATATTATAAATATGGTCACATAATACTTTCCACTTAAAAATTATGATGGCTTACCATTATTCACAAGAAAAAGTAGACAGTCTTGAAGTTTACATGTACTCAAACCATACTGATCTTTTTCCATTTCTTTCAAATTTTTCCCCAGAAGGCCTCAATCTCCCTATTTCTTTTAGATAGCCTTTAGTTTTTTATGGTTGAATAGCAGTTTACCTCTATTATTAAACAACATCATAAAATCCGGGGATTTATCTCATTAATAGAGTTTTGCCTAACCTGTGCAACAACTTGTGTTCAGTCCTCAGTTATACATTATATATGTGTAATTTTTGTTGTGCCTTACATGATCTATTGTCTCCTACTTCACACATGCTAGTTAATAAAAATATTTCCTGACAACGGTGTGACTGGGACAATATATGAAGGCACTGGCAGTGGGTTCAAGATCTAACACTAATGCACAAACTGACTTAGTGAAGCCCATTTTATATGGAGAGATACCTTGTTCAGCCTAGACACAGGGGTGTGGGAGTGGAGAGGTTCTTAGTCCTGCATTAATTGAGATGATGAGTCAGACTTAGTAAACTTCCTAGGGGAGGACTTACCCTCTCTGAGGAGCAGATGGAAAGTTGAGGGGAGAGTCAGGGGAGCGGGAGGAGAGGAGGGAAGGGGAACTGGGGTTGGATTATAAAAAATAAATTAATAAAAGAAGAAAAAAGAGAAAATATTTCTTGAATTGAATGTGGTAAGAATGAAATGAAACTAATATTCTTTTGTATGCTAACATCTAATCTCTAACATGATATAGAAATCAGAATGATGTCATGAAGGTGATAGGTTAAACCATAGTGACGACTTAAACCCTAGTACCCAGAAAATTTAGAAATTAAAGGAAACAAAGAGGCTGGGATCACTCTTTACTTGCCATGACTTACTAATTTACTTGTCTCTTTTTTTCTGGAAAATGTCATACTATCCTATATAGATAAAACAATAAAATCAAACATGGTTTTTAGGAGTACTCACGTTTACAGAACTGCTGAGCATCTGACCACTTGGAGGTTTCTAAGCAGGTGATTAAGAATGGCTTCCCAGTATACCCAGGGAGGCATCTGTATTCCCAAGTTGTTTCAACAGCAAATACAGACTTATGACTCTCAATAGTAGGCTTAGCAAAAGTATACTTTGGCAGCGACTTACACTGACCTAGAATAAGGATCGCAGAAATATCAGAAAGGCTGAAGTTTCTCTGCTTCTCTCCTCCACCATTTATCCTAACAAATTTGACTTTTAGAACTAACATTGCCTGGAGCAATATTATCTAAGGAAATCATTCTAGTATGGGTGGACACAGAGAAATTCAGAGATTGAAACAGTTTTTAAGACAGACTTTAGAATTTATAGCTGGAGAACTTTTTTCATAAAATCCCACCCTCTTACAATTTTATAGTTTAAAACTGGGGGGTGGATTGTTTGCCTTTTGTTTCTTTTTTTTTTTTTTTTACACAGTGAAGTCATGAAAAATAAGAAAAGCATGTAGAACATCAGGGATGAATATATGCGATAGAAGAAAATGAAGGAAAAATGCTGAAAGATATCAGCATAAGAAAGACACCAGTTGCTCAGAAAATAGTGACAAATGAGACTTAATGAAAGTACAAGGCATTTGCACAGCAAAAGAAGAAAAAAGATGAAGAGATGGTCTACAAAATGGGAGAAAGTCTTTGCTAACAAGATATTGAATTAATATCTAGAATATATAAAGAAATAAAAAGCACAAACACCAAAAAATAATCATTACTAAGTGAGATAATGGAATGAACATATGGTTCTCAAATGAAGTACAGATTTCAATAAATATGAAAAAATTGTTAAACCTCACAAGTCATCAGAGAAATGAAAATAAAAACTACATTAAGGTTCCATCTTGCACTATTCAGGATAGCAGACATGAAAATAAGTAACAACAAGTGCTGGTAAGGATGTATATAAAAGGAAGCACTTGTACATTGTTAATGAAAATGTAAACTCATCCAGCCATCATGAAAGTCAGTCTGGAGATTTCTCAGCAAAATAATAGTAAATAGTATTTAATAATAATAATAATAATAATACTAGACCTACCACATGATCCAGTGCTTTTGTCAATATTTACTCAGAAGAGTCCAAGTCAACATATCACAGATATACTTACACATCAATGCTGATTGCAGTACTGTTCACAATGGCTAAGTTATATAACCAATCTAGATGCCCAGCAACAGACTAGAATAAGAATATGTAGTATATATACACAATGGGACTTTTTTCAGCCATAAAAATGAATTAACTTATGTTGTTTGTAAGAATGTGGATGCAACTGGAGATAATATCAAGTGAATTAAGTCATTCTCAGAAAAACAATTATCTTTTGTTTTCTTTCATATATATTTGAATGTTGAGACAAACTGTCTGGGAGAACAAAAAGATACTAATGGGAAGGGAGAAGATTAAGAAGGAGAGGGTCATAGGATATGCTCAAAGTATATTATATAGTTCAAGTAAAAACTCTCTTTAAAAATTTTTGGACATTTAATTTTTTATTTCACATCTAAGAGTGTTTTGCCTAGATGTATGTATGTGCACTATATGTGATCAGGGCCTGCAAAGTCTTGAAGACAGTGATAGATCCTCTACAACTGAAGTTACAGGTGATTATGAGGCACCAAGTAGGTGCCTTGAACCAAAACCTTGTCCTCTGCAAGATCAACAAATGCTCTGACTACTGAGCCATCTCTCCAGCCAAGTAAAAATCTTATAAATAAAAACTAAAGTACCACAGAGATCTTGTATAATCAAAATAACTTTAATTGATTTATATGATTATCTTAATCACTAAACTTTTAGATATAGAGAAAATATATTTATTCTTCATTGAATTTGTTTATTTATTATTTGTGGTTTTATAAGACAGAGTCTCAGTATATAACCCAGGCTGAACTTGAACTTGGGATCCTTCTGTCTTAACCTCCTAGTACTCTACTTTTAACTATATTTATTTTAATCAAATAGAGTAGTGAAACTCAAAAACAGCTAGTAATAGCTTTCTTATGTACCAGAGAAAAGAGCTAGTCATTAATAATGAAATAAATTCCTCCCGAACTTTCATTGCCTTCCTGTCCCAGGACTTTTCCAGAGACGAGACTCCTTTGGACATTGTCATCCCTTCTTAATAGCCCTTCAGCTTCTGCCTCTTCCTGAAGCATCTGTGCTAGGATTTCCTCCCCTTTCTCCTGTGTGCCAAATTCCTCTTTCCCTAACCATTTGGCTCGCCCAGCAGTCTCCCGTCTGCTCCTCCCCGCCCCTCTTGGGGGGTGGGGTGTTCTTATGGGCCTAAACAAGCCCATCCCAACTCTCTGAGAGATCGTCCCTGGCTTTCCGGACCCTGCTTGTCTCAGTTGTCTCCAACTCCTGACAGCTCCATCCAACTCGGGAATCCTGTTCCCCCCTGCCCAGCCCTCTCACCTCCTCTCCTGACCCTGTCCCACTGAGCCCCAGAGCCTCTGAACCCTCCCTTTGCTTACGGGCCCTGACCTTGCCCTTGTCTCTTCTCCTGCTCACTGTCCCCTTGTGGAAGCCCCCCGCCTCTCCTCATCGCAGGTGGCCATAGCAGAGACAGAGCCACGCGGACCAGGATTCTGGGACGCGTTCGCCAGCAGATGGCAGCAGCAGCAGCAAGCGGCGGCGTCCATGCTGCTCGGCGTGGACAGTATGGCTGAACCAGACCGGATCGCCAGGACAAGCCTGCCAAGGAGGACACGGAGTGCCCCGAGACACGGGAGGTGGACCCCGCGGCAAGCTTCAAGTGGGGTTTCCTCACCCACAAACTGGCAGAGATGAGGGTGAAGGCCGCTCCCAAGGGAGACTAGCCGGCGCCTGCCCTTCCTTACCTCCCATAAAAACTACTGGATCTACAAAATAAATAAATAAATAGATAGATAGATAGATAGATAGATAAATAAAAATAAAAATAAAATAATAAATAAATAAATTCCTCCCTATAAGACATCTATGAAACTGTAACATCCATGTGATCCATGTGTATGAGTGAAGACTCACATTTTTACCTCCTCAAATTTATTTGCAGAGATCCAGAAAATCACTCTTATTCAGATCAGAGGTAATCTAGGCAAGGTGTGAAGCCTTCCAAGAGTAGAAGTATATCTGAGAGTTAACAAATTTTTATTTTTTATTTTTCCTCTAGAAGTGTGAGGCAGGTAAAAGTGAAAGTTAAGCAGAGAATGTCTTCTGACTGGGGCATTCACTGACCACCCATGGCTGAATTGAAAAATAGTCACTGTTGTCAGCAGCCAGGTATTGCCTTATCTCCCTCTTTTGTTATTCTTTGCTTTCTTCCATTAATACCTACCAATGTCCCCAAATACATACTTTGTGAAAAAACAGCAAGAAAGACTTTAAGAAAAATGAAGTTTTAAAAACAATGAAGATAGACTTCACAATGTAATACCACATCTACCAGTTACTATAATCAGACAATAATGTGTGATTATCAAATGTAAGTAAGGAAAAACGAAATTATCTTCCATAATAAGGGAAACCATTTAAATTCATAAGATTCAATCAGTGGTAATAATACAGACTAAGAGGGAGACCTTGGACTTTTATTGCAACTACCTACCTTCCAGGTCACAGTATAGAATCTCCAGAGGTTGGTTTCTCCTCTGATCAGACAGGAAGGGAGCAGGTGAGATGTTTCACTAGCTAAAGTCCCTGCTGTCCAATATGACTGACCAATTGAGTTTAATCTCTGGAGCCCACATGATGAAAAGAGAGAGCTAACTTTTGTAAATTGTCCTCTGACCTCCAAGGACATGGCATTGAAAGTACAGCTCCCCCTTCCCACGCAAATAAACAAAGAAATAAATACATGTAATAATTTTTCAAATTAAAAGAAAGGATATTTGTAATAGCAAAAACCTGGAAGTAAGCTAGATGTCCCTCAACTGAAGAATGAATAAAGAAGATGTGGTACAGTTATACAATGGGATACTACTCAACTGGGAAAAAAACAATGGAATCTTGAAATTCGAAGGTAAATGGATGGAACTTGAAGAAACCACCCTGAGTGAGGTAACCCAGTCACAAAAAGAGGAACACTTATATGAATTTTAGACATAGAGCAAAGGGTCACCAGCCTATAATTCACACCACCAGAGGAACTAGGATACAAGGTGTAGTCTAAGAGATTCATACAAGGCCCCTCACAGAAGGGGAAAGGAACAAGATCTCCTGAGCATATTGGCAGTGGGGGGGGGGGGCAGTGAGTGTAGAGGGAGCTAAGAAAAAGAGAAGGGGAGGAGAGGAGAACATGTGGGACCAGGAAGATTGAGTTGGGGGATGGATAGATGACAGCCAAAACAGAGTGAGAGAGATGGAGGGAGAGAGAGCATAATAGAGGGAGCCATTATAGGTTTGAAGAGAAAACTGACTCTAGAGAAATGTCCAGAGACCAACAAGGATGACTCCCCAACTAACAATCTGAGCCACAGTGGAAAGGCTACCTTAAATACCCTTCCCTGATAATGAGATTGATAACTAACTTATATATCATCACAGAGCCCTCATCTAGTAGCTGATGGAAACAGAAGCAGACACCCACAGCTAAACACTGAGCCAAACTCCTAGAATCCACTTGCAGAGAGGGAGGAGTGATAAGAAAGTGGGTCAAGACCAGGTTACAGAAACCCATAGAGACAGCTGTCCTGAACAAGGGGGAGCCAATGGATCACCAGACTGATAGCTGGGAAACCAACATTCTACCGACTCAGACCCCCTGAATGTGGGTCTCAGTTATAGGGCCTGGCAGTCTAAGGGACCTGGGACAGTGGAACCAGGAAGTATCCCTGGTGCACTAAAGGACTTTGGGAGCACATTCCCCATGGAGGGACACTCTCTTAACCTAGAGGCTGGAGGGAGGGCCTAGACTCTACTCCAAATGACTTGACAGATTTTGATGATCCTTCCTGGAAGGCCTCACCCTCCCTGTGGAGTGGGGGCAGGTATGGGAGAGACGGAGGGAGGGAGGGAGTGAGAGGGAACTGGGATCAATATGTAAAATAAGA